GATTTGGTGAGAATCTCACACATGAAACCCATTCGGAATGACCGTCGTCTTGAATGTTAAATTTACATTCTCCAAGTGTGTTCCATAATTTGATCGTTTTATCTCTCGAACCCGACACAATTTGACGATTATCAGGCGAAAAAGAAACAGAAAGAACATCTTTTTCATGACCCACAAAACGACGAGTTGTCGTTCCATTGTTTAAATCCCAAAGACGAAGGGTTTTATCCCATGATGCAGATAAAGCAAATTGACCATCGGAAGAAATGACCACATCTTGTACAAAATGATTGTGACCTGTGAGAGCTTTCTTAGGTACACCATAATTAGTCTCATCCCGAGTTAAATTCCAAACGATTATGGTTTTATCTATAAATTATGGATCAGAATAACATTAATACTATGATTCATAACTCAATTGAGGACGATAAATAATTGGACTTTCAAGGATTTGATGTATGTTAAATAAATTAACTTCTCTATAAATCCTCCCATAAATTCCACCGATTTCTCAATTAATTGATCGAGATCATTAATAAGAAATAATTCGACATACCACGGGAAGCAGATAAAATCATATCAGGATTTTCCGATGTAGTGGCTATAGCGTTAATAATGATTAATATATTTGTTTTACAAATGTTTTTTGAAAAGACTTTAATAAAAATATTAATAATGTGCAAGCTTACCAATAGCCGTCACCCAGTTTGAATGGCCTATATGCGAACAAATATTTTTAGGATAATTGAACTAGTAAATTTTTAACAAATTGGATCGGTTATAGCGCTTACCTTCGAGTGTTCCACGGAGAGATAGAGTATCAGACATATTATTAATGGTTGGACTTGGAGAATTTGAAAAATTATTTTATCGAATTGAGAACAACGCTAAATAAATTTTTTCGTGTTGCACGAGATTTCACGATATGATTGGGCGACGACAAAACTTAAGCCGCAGAAAATGTTTATATTTTTTATTGAATTTTTTATCTTAAAAAAAAATAGAAGAAAATAAAAACAACAGAAATGATTTAACGATTCCAATAATTATAATATTTGTCGCCATGCGTTTCCACATTTTCTGATAAAATGTCCCATTTATTCGTTGGTTTTTCTTCATTTAATAATACTTTATCTCTTTCGTGTTCGGATTTTTTCCTTTCTTCAGCTTGAAGTAATCTAATTTCTCTCAAATCTTCTCTTAACCATTTTTCAACAACCTTTAAAAGTGGAGAGTCCATGTTTCTACGTGATTGTGAACGTATCAAATTGGAATTGATATCTTTTAATTGACTTAATTGAGATATCATTTCATCCAATTCCGTAAAGTTTTTATTAAAATCATGAAATGATACGATTGTTCCGCGTTTTATATGAGATACATGAGTAGGCCAATCTCCAAGTCCTAAGTACATAATTAAATCAATTTATTCAAACGGACTTGGCAATTTGAATGTGTGTAAAAATTTCTTACCATCAAAAATATGAGTTGCGTAAACCTTTTTGTTTTGAAATAAAGGATATGTTAATTCTATCTTTGAAGTTAAATATCAAACATAAATTATTTTAAATTGACTTACGATAGTAGCATTTCTCCTTTCTGTTTCTTTTTTCAGAAATTCTAACAGATCAGTACGTACCAAAACATCCAAATCAACGGTAACTTCATCCATAAGTAATAAATTCCAAGGATCAATTAATCCTAAAACGAGTTGCACCCTGCGTCTTTGTCCATCGGATACTTGATGCATGCGCCACTTTGGATTAATGTCCATAATTTCAATTAATTCATTCACTCTCTCAGGATACTTATCACCATTCATGTTGGATAGGAGGGTAGAGACTTGAACATCACCCCTGACAATAGGATTGTTCGCCCATTCGGTGCCAAGGTATGTAATTCCCTATTTATCGAAAATAAAGGTTAAAGGTTAAATAATTCAAAAGCGTTCGAAAAGTGAGAAAATTGAACATTATACGTACGGGTGGAGGATTTTTAAACGAATCCCTTCCAAAAACCAACACCTTATCTCGAACCATTCTCTTCCCTGCCAGGATCGTCAATAAGGTGGATTTCCCAGCTCCATTGGCACCTAAAGTATTAAGGAAGTTAAATAATAAAACTAATAAATTAGGGTTGAAATATGAATTTTCTTATCAATTATTACCAACTAGTAAACAACGAGTTCCTTTGTGCAGTTGCAAATTCACGTCTTTCAAAATCGGTGGTCCACCGTAGGTGAAAGAAAGGTTTTGAACTTCTATAGCCAATTCTTCGTTATGAGACATGATTTGAAAATGAATGTAAAAGACTTGGTAATAATTTTGAAGGGATATAAAGTTCTTTATATATTAACATAAATGATATAGTAACTATCAAGGTACTCGCACAATTAAGCAATTTGTGTGACTGTCTCTAACAAGCAAAAATAAGCACCCCCTGACGAATTACTTTTTATACAGAGCTTATAATAATCTCCATTTGAATTCCTTAATTAGACGGTGCTTAATTTGAGAGCGTTCGATTTATGATGATCAGCAGTGATACAGTGATTTTTAAATGAAAAACGTTATGACTCATGTTTGATAATGCATATTTACAATAAATAAGTCTTTTCCGATGACGAATCGAAATACTTTTAATAATAATATGTTACTTTAAATTTCTGAGCGCAAATATTTTGAATATTATATACACCAATTATTAATTATGTTTCTATGTAGAAACAGTCTTGAAAATATTGAATCCAGAAGCGGCTGTGCTAATCATGCATCCGGGGATCTGTGGATGCCAATGTATCTCTTTGATGTCATTTTGACCCTATATCGATGATAACAATAAAGTCAAATTATGTTGCAAGTTCAAATTTTAGTGTATTTTTATAATAAGTTACCTGATGTATAAATAGTAACTGCGGAGGAACCTCTACGCCATTCTTTCCGATAATCTTATCAGAGTTTTCTTCAGGATCATGTTCAACTGAAAGATCCCATATGGAAATTTGATCATCTGCTCCGGATGCACCAAGAACTGATTCTTCAATGGGGTGCCATTCGATTGAGGTAATTGGCGCGGAGTGCCATTTGAAGTTAGCAACAGGAGAAGGTTTCGTTCCTTGACTATTTTATCGGACAAAATAGAATGTCGGTTGATATTTAGATCCCGATAATGAATCAATGGAAACAATGGTGACAATAATAATGAATGATGCAGACTTTACAAAAGTACGCAAATCCCATATACTTATCACGCCATCATCCGAACCTGAAGCGAGCAGGTAATCAACTTTCCTGAAAGAATTCGATATAAGAGATATTCTTTTGCAGAATATCAACAAAAAATGATTAATTTTTTTTTTAAAAGAAAATATACAAACCGATTCCAGCTAATAACATTTACATCCGAATCATGAGCCTTAATACATAAAGCATCTTTCTTTTTACTTCGGGTATCCCATATACGTATTGTTTGATCGGCTGAAGCGCTTGCGAATACATTTTTTTCCGTAGGTGACCATTGTAAGTCCTCTACCGAAGATGTATGACCTACAAACGGTATTCGATCCGCTGTGAAATTGGATTGCGCTTTTGTCGTAAGATAAATATGTGTATGCATATCTCCTGTTATCAGCCTATCAGTGAATTTTAAGTGTAAATAATAATATATATAAAAGATATAGATATTTGAGACAAGTATTAAATATCGCACCTTCCCGGAATAGTTCCTGACCAATCCATTGCGAATCCCTCAGTACTATGACTTTCTACCGTATATAGTGGCTTTAATGATTTTTGTGGAATTTGGTAGCCCGTAGTGTCCAACGATTTTATAAATGGATTCAAATCCCAAATATGTACTTTTCCCGTATCCGCCCATGAAGCAGCTATTTGAAGGTCCTTTTGTGGTGTGACTCTAACGCGATTAACGCCTCCATAATGCTTTAAACTTTTGTGTTCTAAGATCGGATTCTCATCCAATGCCTCATCATCTGATCCATCAGATTCCTTTTCATCTAATTTTTAAAAAAACCAAAATTCAATTAAAATATAATATTTGTACCATGTTACGCAAACAAGTACTCACCATCATTTTGTGTTTTATGTAGTTGGGACATTTTCATTATCATCAATTCATTGTTTTTTGGTTTATCCGCTTGGGTTCCGGATACTATATATGCTGTGGCTGGATACTAAAATTTTGTATGTAATAAATTCATTAAATTGTCGTACTTGGTATGAAAAGATATAAAACTTTTAAGTAAATGCCAACCATCTTTCTGTCCTCGCCTAAATTATCCCACAAAATATCAAAACTAAGACATGGCCATTCAACGTTTATCGGATGCAACAATTCGTAAGCTGACAGATCCGCCTCAAGAACCTCATCCTTTTGTAATTCTTGCCCGGGAAGGTATACTTGATGTTCTTCAATTCCTTCAATTTCCATTGCTTATATTAATAAATAGATATATGAATAGAGTATAAAACTTAATTAACACATTATTTCTTTTAAAATAGTTTTTTTATTACAATTTTTCGTTTCTTATTTTTATTTTATTTTATTGAAAAGTAGGAATTTGTAAAATTCTCTTAATTGATCTAATCCCCATACCATCATCATCATCATTTTCGTCATCATCATTTTCATCCTCTTCAACCACTTCTTCCTCGGACTCTGTTTCATATTCGTCTTCCCAGGGGTCTTCAAATTCTCCCATACCCTCCTCTGTTTCTTTAACCTTACCAAATTTGTTTTCTCCGAGTTTACCGAAAGGAGCTTTCGAAGCCAGTTGCACTGACGTATCTTCTGTTGTACGTTTTGACATTATTTATTTTCAAAATATCAATTTTTTTTTATAAAAAAAATAAATTTTAAAAAGAAATTTTTTTTATGATTAGATCAAATAAGTTTTTATCGATATGATCTTCGATTATGATTGGTCAATCCTTTAATTTATTAAATCAAATTTTTTTTGAACTTTGGTAACTTTGATAGCAAACATGCCAATTGACGCTGCAACCTCGGCTTTGAATCTTTCGTTCCCTCCCACTACCACAGCGGGTTTTGTAGTTCCCCAAAGCCGCTCTTTTACGGTGTCGGTGAATCCGGTAGTATTGTTTTCAATTCTCGATCATTACCTTCGTAGGCAAGAAAATCAACACAGAGTGATCGGAACCTTGTTAGGTGTTCGAAGTGAGGATGGGAGTGAGGTTGAAGTTCGAAATTGTTTTCCTGTTCCTCACGATGAAACTCAGAATCAGGTTTGTAATTTATTTTCTTTTTTTTTTTACGAGATCGTATATTTGTAAGAATGAAAATAAATGAATTTTTTTTTCCTGATCCTAACTTTCAATTCAGAACCAGGTTTGCCTCTTTATAAGCGAGATCGTGTATTAAATGAAGTAAGAGGAGTTTAAATTAAGCAAAAATAAATAAAATTAGGTTGCCGTAGATATGGAATATCACCACAACATGTTTGAGCTTCATAAAAAGGTTAATGCAAAAGAAATAATTGTTGGATGGTATGCTACAGGATCTAATCTTAATCAATGGAACGCCCTTATCCAAGATTTTTATTCAAAAGAAGTGATGGCACCGTTTCAAGCTATCCATTTAACAATGGATACGGATCTCAAGAATGAAGAAAAACTTTTAGGGGTCAAAACATACGTTGGGTAAATACGAAGTGAGAATTTACTTTATGAAAAAAATCCATTTCTTATATAGATTTGAATTTGAATAGTGCACCAATTGGAATTGCCGCCAAACCAGAAAATTGTCTATTTTTGCCTGTCCCATGCGATGTCAAATATTTCGATGCCGAACGAAGTGGACGTAAGCAAAAAAAAAAAATGTATTCTAAAGTTTCTTTGCGTTAAATTAACTTTCGCTCCTTTTTATTTAGTTGATCTTCTTGCATCAGCAAAAGACGACATAAGTCGATCTGCTTCTCTAATATCTGATATGGACAATCTTGAAAAAACCATAGTCGCTGTTCAAAAGATGCTGGAACGGATATCGGATTATGTTAATAAAGTTTTGGTAAGTATGATGATAATAATCTAACTAGGATTATCAGACCCTTTAAGTAAAATTTAAATTTTCCAATAGGATGGGAGCGTGCCTTCCAATAATACGATTGGTCGATTTTTAATGGATACGATTTCAGTTGTACCCAAAATCGATAAAGCGGAATTTGAAAAAATGTTTAACAGTCATCTACAAGTAAGATATTTTCTTCATGATACAATGCAATATCTTTTTTAATTCTATTAATTCAATATGTATCCTCATTGTAGGATTTATTGATGGTCGTTTATCTGGCAAACATGACACGTACACAGCTCGCTATCGCGGAAAGATTACAATTACTTGTATAATTTATTAAGTGGGAAGGAAATATTTTCGCAAAAAAAAAATTTATTTTTCAAACGAAAGAAATCACGTGATTCGTGATTGAGCAAACGTAAAGTAATTATTACTAATATTATTTACATTAGTAAAGGTAATTTTGATATCCTTGTAAATAATTATAAGATTCTTTATATTATCATAACTAAAATCAATAAAATGTCCACAAGGGATCTCAGGCGAGGCGCAGAAAAGGAATTCGCCTCGTCTTAAAACACGTAAAACTGCGCCAACCGCAAAAAAAAAATTTGATCACAAAGATAAAACGCGCTCTTTTCACCAAATCTTAATTTCGGCAAGAGTTTTTAATTAGTCATAAAATATCTACAAAATATTCGTCTATAGAAAACTACGTTCTTCACTAACAACTAGAAATCGGACAAAAATTAGTAAATTTGATTTGCATTCCCTTTCAAGATCCAACATGCTCTTCTACAATCACAAACTTCGAAATTTATTTTATAATCACGTGATTTGTGGTTTAAATTAATTTAAAACAATTAGTTATATATGCATTTATGAAATATTCTGTAGTGTTGTGTGTCCTGCTATATTTTTTTTATTTAACCGAAAATGTCTACTATTAATCCCTCGTTTAAGGATTTGAAACTTTTTAAAGAGGAAAAAATTTAACCCTTGTGTGCGCCTCGCATGTTTCATATAGCCGTTCGTCTGCGTTATTTTAATTAAACTCGTGATATTTATTATTCACTGCTTATCACCCATAAAACTAGAATATAAAAAAAATCGCATTTATTCCTTCGACTATCTTAATTATTATCTTTTGTCGTAAATTCCACCGCCTATTGATTATTTTTCAACTTCAAGATTGGGTTTGACATTTGATGGTCCAATTTTTGAGATAGTGAATGAATACAGGTTTAAAAAAAAAAACATCAAAATACAATCCTCCTTATTTTGAGAGAGCAGTTAGTAAGAATGATGTTCAAAATGCATTACAAATTTTTCTGAAACTGAATAACTGTGAAGGTATTGTATTTAAATTTTTGCTCTAGTAAAGATAATCAAGGCTTAGTTCTACTGGACTTTGTGGCAATAAAGCGGAAAAATACAATTTTAATAATCGAAGATAAGATGTTATGTATTGGTCATAAATCACCTAAAAAATTTTCGCAAATATTCATTTAACCTTCATTATGAAATAATTTCGACAGATGATTCCAGTTGGTTTCTTAAATGAGAGGATGAATATTTATATATTTCAGAAACTCTACCTTTTAATAATCCAACGATAAAGTTCTACTGGCAAGCAAAGATGCTTACATTTAACCTTCTAGCATTATACCTAAACCAATTACTTCACTATCAGATACTCCAAACGTGTAGCTGCAAAAATATCAAAACCAACTAAAACCAAATCTTTGGGAATTTCACAATCTAATTTTTCTTCAACACAACAAAATCATCAAGTCATTTCAAAGATATTATTAGGTCTTATTTGGGTTGTGATGTAAATTTCGTTATGATAAAGTCTTAAAAGTTACCGATTTATCGAAGAAAAGTATTTTCTACCTGAGCTAATGCAAAAGCTAAAAGTCTATCGCATTCTCAAAGATATCCAAGAAATATATATACCAAGATTATTATGCTATGGTTATTTATGGAGCACAATATTCTTCTTTATAGGAATGACTCTTCATAATATTATTCGTAAGAGAATGTCATCCTTTGTGATGACGAGGAGAGAATATAATTGATTTTGGAATGACTACTTTTGAAAATGTTAGCTAAAAACAACTAAAAGAGAAAAAGGAGATGAATTACTACTGTTTATGTGATAAGTTTAGTAAGATTAGCTAGGAAATGTATTAAATCACTTATGTAACCTTTTTTGAATAATAGAATTCGTATGAGAAATACATAAATTTACACAACCGAAAAATATATTTTGTAAAATTCCTCTCTATTCATCGTATGATTCATCATGCGTTAATTAATAAATCACGGACGATGAATTCATTTTTATATACAAATAGAAAGAGATAAGTCAGTTTATTAATTATGACACTTTTATTATCTAAATTTAAGCAAATAATTAATACTAATCGCCTTCAAATGCTTTAACTCTCGAGTCAAAAGTGACGTAAAAATCCTTCTGGCAATAGATATAGTATATTTTTTCCGCAAATACTGACTCATTTTATTAAGTTAACCCTGGAGGTAGCAGATGATCTATATAGTTATATCTTCGACAGGTCAGGTGTAGCTATAAACATATAAAAGTTTCGCTAGTTGATTCTTTTATCCGCTTCATAAAAATAAAACCATAACAAAATAACTAAAATTAATTTATCAATATTTTTAATACTTACCGTTATCCTACAAAAAACAAAATTAATCAATCAATTTTAAAGGAATGTTAATTGAATATTCCAGTTTTATAAGAGTTCAAAATCAAAAATGAAAAATTTACATTCTTGAACCTTTTCGCATATCAAGAAAATCCCTAAACCTCATCGCTGGCATATGATCACATCAGCGCAGTAAACTTAGCGAATTTGATAATTCTTAAGGCATATGGATACAGAATATAAAGATAAGAATCGATGATTGATTTTCTGTTTATATGATCCAATTTTACTTTTACGAATTTTTGCTTTAAAACTTTACAATAGCGATAGGTTCAAGATTTTGGCTATCATCATAAAGTGCTGTTCAAAGAAAGCTAAATGTTCTAGAGCTTTCAGCATGAAAATGATTACATTCAAGAAATAAGTTGACAAGATCCTTTAATTACAGGATCGAAAAAGAGAATTAATCCAAATAATTGATCTTTTAGAAGTCAGAAATTTAAATCAACAGAAAGCTTCTTTGAGAAATTGGTTGTTTACAAGGATTTGATAGAGGGTCAGGATTACTCTTCTCTTGGTGGTGGTGAAGCCGTGATCTGTAACTGCGGCGATCATCTGATTTAGTTGACAAATATGACAGATTGGTCATATTTGACCGATG